TAATCTACATCATGGTCTAGCTTGTAGGAGGCCATGTGCGACTTCTCATCCCCAGAATTTAGCTTCAGAAACCACTGTCAACTCTAGCTTCTAAGACAGGGGGAAAGACCTACTCAGGCCACCAAGAGTCAGATGCAAGAACTCACCCTAGGCTTCTAAGCTGGCACCTGATTAACAGCTCAAGTCACTTAATCAGATGGCCGTTGGGTCAGATTCCAAAATGTCAGGTTCTCTGTGGTTGGCTAAAGATTCATCCTTGTTTCTCCCATGAGGAATGATCAAGGACTCCTCCAGGCTCGCCCACTGCTGGGAGGCCGTCCACAGACAGCCCTCGCTACTCCCCCAAAGGCCTCCAGAGAATACCTCACTGCCTTTTGAGGTTCTTGCTTCTCCAGAGAAGGCTCTAGCACCCCTAGGCATCCAGAGAAGGGGTCAGAACAGGTCCCCTTCCATAGTTCTTGCTTCTCCAGAGAAGGCTCTAGCACCCCTAGGCGTCCAGAGAAGGGGTCAGAACAGGTCCCCTTCCATAGATGGGGGATGATGTTTCCTCTGGGACTTAGGGCTTAGCCAGCTTCCCCAGCAACGCTCAGTCAGTCAGCAAATGCTGACGTGTTACTGAGCCCGAGGGCGGCTCACCCAAGACTTTCCTGAAGTGATTTTGAGGAGAGATCTGAAGAACGAGCTATACAGGAAAAGGGAGTGGAACAGCTCATGCAAAGGCTCAGAGGTAAGCTAATGCGTGTTGGATAGAATGATCCAACACCAAAATAAGAGCTTTTCCTGGCAGCCCAAGCTAGAATCAGGAAAGGATTCTGCCACTGTCCAGGCTCAGGCCACTTTCTCCCTGCTGAGACAAGAGCATCACTTTTTTTTTGGGGGGGGGGGTCATGAGACTTGAACTCTGGGCCTGGGCACTGTCCTTGTGCTCTTCAGCTCAAGACAAGCACTCTACCACTTTTGCCACAGCACCACTTCAGTTTTCTGGTGGTTAATTAGAAATAAGAGTCTCATGGACTTTCCTGCCTGGGCTGGCTTTGAACTGCGATCCTCAGATCTCAGCCTCCTAAATAGCTAGGATCACAGGCGTGAACCACCAGCACCCAGCAGAGATCACTTTTTAGAGATCAGAGAATCTCCGCCACCAGTCACAGCCTCACGTTGAATCCCTCCAGCAATAAAGAGCTTCCTGAAGCCAAACCCATCCTTGTGGGGAAAGCCATCTCCTCAAAGCAGAAATCTCTGCCCCCCCTCCCCCACGTACCACTCCCCCTCCCCCGCGCTTCCACACAGCCCCTCCCCTACCCAGGATTTTGGCATCTAGGGTGGCAATGCAGAAAGGGTCCAGATTCTTCTCCATATAACAGCCTTCCAATTTTTCTCTCTACCTCAACCCAGATCTTTGGCCTTAAGCACCAGCAGAATTATCTTGGATGACATCAAGTGTGGGGCTGGATTTTAAAATGAGACTCTTAGGGGCTGTAGCTGTCAAGAGTGTGCATACTGTGGGAAGAAACCATGGCAGATGGCTCTGAGGGAGAGAGGAGCTGGCTATGGGAGCGGTAATGGCACTCTATGTTGGTGACAGGCTGTGCACCTCAGGAACGGGCCCTTCTTGAATGTCTGTTTGACCAGTAATCTTGTATTTCCTCAATATAAAGTATTTCCTTTTTTTTTTTTTTTCCTGTCCTGGGACTTGAACTCTGAGTCTAGGCGTTGTCCCTAAACTCCTTTTGCTCAAGGCTACCACTCTACCACTTGAGCCACAGCACTACTTCTGGCTTTTTTTTGTGGTTAATTGGAAATAAGAGACTCGTGGACTTTTCCTGCCTGTGCTGGCTTTGAACCGCGATCCTCAGATCTCAGCTAGGATTACAGGCCAGAGCCACAGGCACCTGGCTTAAAGTATTTCTTGTAAGACTTCACAAAATGCAGATAAGCCAAGGGAAGAAAATAAACACCTGTAATTCAAACTGCCTCCCATCAGTGTTTTCGGAAACATCCTTGAGACTTTCTCTGCATGGGTCGGTCAGTGTTTGCCGGAGCAGGCTTGGACAGCGTGTGTGTGTGTGTGTGTGTGTGTGTGTGTGTGTGTGTGTGTGTGTGAGATCAGCTCCTGTTCCTTCCTTGTCCCTTTCTTCTTTCTTTTCTTAGCCTTGGGATTGAACACAGTGCTTCACACAAGCTAGGCAGGCGCTCTACTAGCTGAGCTACACCCCTCCCCAACCTTACCATAGATCATAAACTATGTTTCACCATCATTGTTTTGAAACCTGCCTGTGTCTTGCTTTGGGTGAATATAATGTTATTTACTTAAACAAATTCTATTGTTGGATTGCATCCTCTCCCAGATGATAGGGAGGGAGGGAGATACAGATAGATAATGAATAGGTAGACTCATGGTAGATAACAGATAGGTAGGTAGGTAGGCTGGTAGACAGGCAGGCAGGCAGGCAGGCAGACAGACAGACAGACAGACAGGCAGGCAGGCAGACAGACAGACAGACAGACAGACAGACAGACAGACAGACAGATAGATAGATAGATAGATTATAGGTGGGTAGATAGATAATAGATAGAAAATGATTGCTACATGATTGGTAGATGATAGGTAGGTAGTTCATAGATAGATGATAGGTAGGTAGACAGATACATCGATAATAGGTAGATAGACAGATGATAGATAATGGGTAGATATATGACAAACAATGGATGGAAGGATAGACAGATGGGACTATTAAAAATTACTCTGGCAGAGGCGGGGCAGGGGTTATAGCTCCAATGGTAGAGCACTGGCCTAACAAGCATGAGGCCCTGAATTCAAATCCCAGTATCTCCACACACACAAAAGCAATGGATCGGATGTCTCCAAGTGGCGGCTCATGTCCTCACTTCCTTCATAAACTTAGGCCTCATAATAATTGTATGTCTACATCTTCCATCTTGTTCCTTCCTAGTGTCTCCCAGAAACCCAAGAATGGCTTCACTGTTCCACTGGTCCAGCTGGTGGCAGCTGGTCCTCCTGGGCCAGCCACCCTGGTCCAGAGCTGGCTCCTCTCCCTGTATCTCCCTCCTTAGCATTTTGTTACATGTAGTCTCCCTTTACCACCATGTCCCTAAACTCATCAAAGACCCTCTATCCCTCAGTGTCCATTCAGGAGCCCAGAAGTCTTCCCAGGCAAGGGACTTTAACACCTAAGAGTGGTTATGGGGATCCAGTGGGAACAAGGGGACAGCCAGAGATTCCCCATAGCAGGAAGCTGTGCTCTCCTTCCAGCTACAGGGACAGATGGCTGTTTCTTGAGCCCAGAACTGGGCACCTGACAGGACCAGGAAGCTATTGGGGTACCTAGCAGAGGGGCCTCCAGCAGGAGGGAGAACCCCAAAGGAAGCCAAGCCTTGCTGGCTACACCCAAAGTGTAGAAAGGAGGTGAGAAATGCCTGCCTTCTCCAGCTCCCTAACTGCCTCCAGGGTCCCAAGGCCCAACCTCTCAGGAAGCAACTGACAAAGGAGTCTGGGAGTTGTAGTTTCCTACATTATAGGAACTGGCTGGCATAGGCCTACCCCAACTCCCCACCACCACCACTATCAGGAGTTTAGCTTTGGCCATTTGGTCAAATAAATTTTAGCAATGGCTCATTCCTGATAACACACTATTACAACACAGAAAGGAAAAATTTACACATGGATTCCCAGATATCATAGTCATCCAATAAACAACAACAACAACAAAAACAGCTGGGAATGGACCTTGATACAACCCACTTAGCAAGCAGGAACAGCGTTAGCCTGCTGCTGTACGGTAGAACCCTCTAAATTCATCCCAGGGCAGAGGGGGAAAAAACAAACAAACAAAGTCAAGCACTGGTGGCTCACGCCTATTATCCTAGCAACTCAGGAGGCTGAGATCTGAGAATCAGTTCAAAGCCAGCCTGGACAGAAAAGTCTGTGAGACTCTTATCTCCAATTAACCAACAAAAAGCCAGAGGTAGGGACTGGGAATGTGGCTTAGTGGTAGAGTGTTTGCCTAGCATACATGAAGCTCTGGGTTCAATTCCTCAGTCCCACATAAGCAGAAAAAGCTGGAAGTGGTGCTGTGGCTCAAGTGGTAGTGTGCTAACCTTGAGCAAAAGAAGCTCAGGGACAGTTCCCAGGCCCTGAGGACTGGCAATAATAATAATAATAAATAAAAATGAAAATATTAAAAAAAAAAAGCCAGAGGTAGAGGTATGGTTCAAGTGGTAGAGTGCTAACCTTGAACAAAAAAAAGCAAGTGAAAGTGTGAGGCCCTAATACTAGGACAGAAAAAGAGAAAGAGAGAGGAAGGAAAGAAGAAAGGACCCCTGAAATTTGAGGTCCTTTTGCAGATCTCACCCCCAAGGCACAAGGTAAGAGTGTCTGGGTTTCTAATCCAGCAGGAGGGAGCTGTTTCCAAGTCCACTGTCTGGCCTGGGAGAGACAGGATCTGGGTACAAAGAGAAGTATCAGATACCCCATACGTCCTCCTGCAAGAACCAAGCCAAGATACACTCCAGTTTGTGACGCTCCCTTCCCTTGTCCGTCCTAGTCCAGGGTAAATCCCCTGGGAATAGAACTCTTCAAGCAATCGCTGTGCACCTGCTGCAGGCCTTGATTCGGAGCCAGCTGCTCTCTGATAAGACTGTACATCATGGATGATTTCTGCCTTTTCTCCCTCTCAGCAAGCGCCCGGATCAACCACCCAAGAGTCTTGGGATGAATCAGTCACCAGAACCAGATAAACAAGCCAGCCTCCCCACTGCCACACACACACACACACACACACCCCGCAATCCTGTTCGGCACCCAGGAAGGGAACTCCCTTGGATTCCACCCAGGACCTGGAATTCAGCACAGGGCCAGGCACCTTTGCACCCCTGCCCCCACGGGCCCAGGCCCTCCCGGCTCCTCCTTTCCCCCCCGCCCTGAGCCGGGTGGAGCCAGCTCCCAAGGCGGCAAGACTTGGCTCCACTCAGCACCGGGGGGCCCAGAGCGGAGGCCCCAAGGGGCCCTGGAAGGAGCCAATGAGGACGCTACTGGCCATCCTGGCTGTGGGAACCCTGGCGGGTGAGTGTCCCCCAATTCCCCACGGTCAGACCTCACCACCCCAGGACCAGGGCTGTCTTCTCGCACCCCGGGCAGCCTCAGTTTCATTTTCTGCCCTGCACTGCTTGGACTAAGCTGGTTTATTTTGGAAGCAAAGATGGCTCAGTAGCTGGGGAGGATGTGAGGGTGACTCGAACCCTGGTCTTCTCTCCACATCTGGTGTGTGTATGGCAGGGCGGAGATGTGGCCGACGCTTTCATCTGGGTGCCAGATTGACACACCCCGGTGGGTAGAGAGGCTTGGCTCCCGGGAAGATGCACATCCTTTGCCCCTCCAAACCCTGATGATTCCAGCTGTACCCCATCTTCCGGTGCTTCTGATGGGAAGCAGGCTGGACGAAGCCCCTCCGGAGGTCTCTGCAAGGATGGTGGGAAGCTTTTCTTCCCAGAGCAGCCAGGGGCTCTGTGCTAATAACTCTGCAGTACCAGGGCCCTCCCCCAAACAGGACTAAGGAGCATGGCTGTCAAATGTAGGAAGGGGGGCTTTGCTGGGCTTTATGTGAGACCCCAGTTACATCCCTGTGGTCTTGAGAAGTTGCTCAGGGAAATTCTCAGGAAGTCAGAGCACAGAGAAGGGGAGACCCAGCTTCTACCCCCTGATAGGAGAGAAGGGGAGGCCCAGCCTCCACAGAGCTCTGGCCCCAGTGCAGGTGGAGGCCCATGTAGGGGCAGAGCTGTCCCTCTGCCGCTGTCCCCAACCAGTGCTGACTGGATCTTTCATATCCCTGAACACACACCATTCCCTGTGAAGGGCTGAAGCCCTCAGAGGCTGGTTCTGTGGGGAAGTCCCATAGCTCCTGGCCCTTAAGACCAGGGGGTTCAGGTTGGGGGGGTGCACAGGAGGGGAGGCGGGAGGCTAAGGGTGGCTAACGGCTCCTACTCAGGCTCAGCCAGTGCGAGGCTGGGTGCCCAGCGCGCTGGCTTGTTTGTTTGCGTCTTTTTTTCCCTTCGCTTCCCTTGAGGGCTGATACATGGCTTTTCCAAGCAAATGTGAAACCTTGCCTTTTGCCATTTGTGAGTCGGCCAGACAGCCTGTCTGCCCGACAGCCTCTCGATTTCACAATGTAGACTTTCAACCAGGAAGTGCCGCAGTGAGACGCGGGAGACAGGGGAAGGGATGGATTTGGCAAGGGCAAGAAAGGAGGACTCCTGAGCCCCCATTGCCCCTAAAAGAGGATAGACAGCCAGGGGCTACCCACCCCACTTCCAAAAAGGCAAATGCAGCTCCTTCTTGTCTCCTCTTAATTCCCCCCAAGCCTCAGCCCCTGCGCCTCCCCCCACCCAGCCTCTTCAGCCTGCCTAGACACCAGCCCCAGCGGGCTGCAGCCTGTAACCCACCCCAGAGCCCCCAGCCCACCCAGGACAGAGCCTCCTCTCAACCTCACCCTCTCTCCCACCCCCAAAGCCACCATTCAGGTATGCTGCTCGCTGATCTTGCTTCCTCAGATACAGACCCCATCCAGTACCTCAGACCTCCCCTCCACCCTGGCCTGCAGCCCAGGATCCACACTGGTGGCAGTGAGCTCCCGGGGCTCAGCAGCACAGCTTTCTCCTTGGGTAGAGGTAGTGAGAGACCCCCACACTGCCCCCAATGCTCCCCTCAGGAAGCTCCAAGAATCCTGGATGTTAGATTTCCCAACCTGCCTGGCTAGACTGACCCAGATTCAGAGAGGGGGGGTAGCCTTAAGGGTAGCCGGGGACTTGCTGCAGGGCTGGGGTGTTCCTGTATTCTGCCCATCCTCAGAGGTGCCCACCCAAGCCTAGGGACACACCCCCTGGTGCAGATACCAGTGATGAATGATATCATGGTCCAGCCCTCTGCGCCTGGCCTGCTGGGTGGTCATGGCCTCTCTGGGGAGTATGCATGCATCAGGGGCACATGTGCACACGAGGCCTCCAGGCCTTGATGTCACCGCATCTGCACCTGCTCCTTTCCCACGCCTGCCAGCCAGGCCGTTCGGAGCATGCTCAGAGCCAGCGGCAGCTCTGGCCACCATTTCCCTGCACAAGCCAAGCTGGGAGAGCAGAGGGAGGGCCTGCCAGAGGCCTGGGCCTCCACTTCCCCTTCCTCCTCATAAGCTGTAGTAGATGGCAAAGGACTAGGCTGGAGGAAGTGGCACGGACTGGCGTGTGTTTTGTTTTGTTGTTTCTCTTTTTTGTTGGGTTTTTGGTCCTAGGGGTTGAATGCAGGGCCTCATGCAAGCTAAGCGCATGCTTTACCACTGAGCTGCACCCCAGACTCTGTTGTAAACTCCTAAAGGGCCATCTTCCCCTTCCCTTCTGAACCCTGTATCCCACCACCATCACCACCACCACTCCAAAGCTGCCCCCAAATCCTGCCCAGGCTAGAATACAAACAGGATCCATCCTCCCTAAACAGAGACTCAGATCACTTGCATAAAGATGGTGGGGCTGGGGGGGGGGAGGGGAAGGGCAGCTCCCCTCCCACACAGTGGGCAGGGCAGAGACAGCGTCTGTGGAGGACCTGTGACAGGCCGGGACCCTTCCCAGATGCTGTGTCCCTCCCCATAGCCCAGCAGGCACTGTGATGAACACTGCGGACCCTGTCCCGAGCCATCCCAGACAACAGGGCCTCCTGTGGGCCTGTTTTCCCTAGCCATCAAATGGGAGCAACAGCAACCACCGTCTCATCAGGGGGTTAGGAGCCGTCAATGAGGTGGGAGGCTAGGGTAGCTGATGCCTTTCCAAAGAGACAGCTACTGCTGCTCTTACCGTCTGTGGCCAGGTAAATCAAAGAACTCCAATGTCAGAGTGAGGACATTGAGCCAGGCACCATGGTGGCTCACACCTGGTATCCTAGCTACTCAGGAGGCTGAGATCTGAGGGGTTGTTGTTCAAAGCCAGCCTGGACAGGAAAGTCCATGAGACTCTTATCTCCAGTTAACTACCAAAAAGCCAGAAGTAGAACTGTAGCTCAAGTGGTAAAGCGCTAGCCTTGATCAAAAATGTTAAGGGACAGCACCCAGGCCCTGAGTTCAAGCCCCAGAACCAGCATGAGAATGAGAGAGAGAGAGACAGACAGACAGACAGACAGAGACAGAGAGACAGAGACAGAGACAGAGAGACAGACAGACAGAGAGAGAGAAGAATGAAGAGCTGTCTTCTTAAACAATTTCCACAAGGCTGCCTTGCCCATCTGTTGGCATCCTGCACCACCGTGTGAACAGGTGCCCTGGCCTTCTGGAAAGACGTGTGGAGGAGGGCAAGCAGCAGCCCAGAGAAAGCTCACCAATGCCATCTCTGCCAAAGTCCTTGACTTTGGGTTCCTTCTTAGACATTTTACTTGAAGATCTCAGCTTCAGGATTCTAACCTCAGTGTTAAAAAGCAAACTAGAAAGCCAGCTGCCCGTGGTTCACGCCTGTAATCCCAGCTACTCAGGAGGCTGAGATATGAGGATTTAGGTTCATACCTAACCCAGCAGGCGAGTCCATGAGAATCTCATCTCCAATTAGCCAACAAAAAGAGCTGGAGGTAGAAGTGTGGCTCAAAGGGTACAGCACCAGCTTAGGAAGAGCTCAAGTCCCTGAGTTCAAGCCCCAGTACTGGCCCAGAAAACAAAGTGATTGAGAGATAGATAACTCGTGAAGACAAGGAATTGAAATGTTTGGACCCCCACCCTAACACTGCTGGGGGAGTTTAAGATAGTGCAGCCATGTTGGGAAATAATTTGACAGTTTTTCAAAAAACTGAGCATAAAGGATTGGGGCTGCAGCCTGGGGATAGAGACAGGAGAATCCCTCCCCAGCACTATACCCAGTCAAGTTAAACACAGAGGTAACCCGTAGCTCCTATCCAGACACACACCCAAGGAAAAGGGAAACACGTTTTCCCCCTGCAAACTCTTCTCCACAGCGTTACAGATTTACTCACCATAGCAAAAAAAAAAAATGTGGAGACAACCCAAATGTCCACCAACTGATGGATAGATGCACATGAGATATCAATACAGTGGAATGTTATTCAGCCTTGCAAAGGAGCTAGGTGTTGATCCTGCTACCCGTATGTATGAAGCTTGAAAACCTTACATGGAGTAAAAGAAGCCAACCCCAGAAAGCAGTCCACACTACACAAATACCAAGTCCAGAATAGGCAAATCCGTAGAGACAGCTGGGGGCAGGGAGGGGTCTCCGAATGGCCATGAGGTTTTGGGGGTGGTATGGATCTAATTCAAGGAGGCTCATGGGGGTGGCTGACAAGTGTGCGGGAGGCGAGCCCCGGAACCGACGCGTGGAGACCGTGACCTTCCTGCGTGTAACTGCAGCGCTAGTGCGTGTACCCGGCTCTAGTTGGCGGCTAAGGGCGGTGTCTGGGGCACATCTGCTGAGCACGCTCCCACTCTCCCGCAGCCCCCGGCACTGAAGACAGCCCGGCTCTCCTTCAGTACGTGAAATTCCAGTCCAGCAACTTTGAAAACATCCTAACGTGGGAAAGCGGCCCGGAGAGCCCCCCAGACACGACCTACAGCGTGGAATACAAGACGTAGGCTCCCGCCCCGGCCTCCCGGCCACGCCCCTCCCAGTCCCTCTCAATCTTCCAGGCCCCGCCCCTCCCAGCCACACCACGCCCCCTGGCCACGCCCTGCCCTCATGGTCACGCCCTTCTTGCCCAAGCACAACCCTTCCTGTCTCCCTCCATCTTCCCGGCCCCGCCCCTCGAGGCCCCGCCCCCACAGGCCCCGCCCCACCCTCCTGATGCTCCTCTCCAGCCCCACAAACCCCATACCCTCTGGCCGGCCCAGGCTACACAGCCCGTTCCAGGGGCAGTTTTGCCCCTCCTTTTTGGGTGCCCAGGGGGAGATAAAATCAGGATCTCTACCAGCAGCTGCCTGGGGCCCCACCCATCTAACCTGGGGCACTGAGGGAATCTCCTCAAACCTCAATTTCCCCAGGTGTAACATAAGGGAGTTTCCACATGCCAGAGTGGTCAAGTGAATTAAATGAGATGTAGTCAGCTTTAAACAGAAAGGCCAACAAGAGCAAGAGGCCCGGAGTTCAAGCCCCAGTACCAACACACACACACACACTCACCACACGCACCTATGCTGAGTGCTAGTGGCTCGCACCTGTAATCCTACCCACTCAGGAAGCTGAGATCTGAGGTTTGAAGTTCTAAGCCAGCCCAAGGCAAGCGAATCAGTAAGACTCATATCTCCAGTTGACCACAAAAAGCCAGAAGTAGAACGGTGGCTCAAGTGGTAGAGTTCCAGCCTTGAGCAAAGAAAAGGCTGAGCCACACCCAGGGGTTGGAGGAGTGGCTCAGAGGGTAGACCACTAGTCAGTGAGCAAAAGTAGTCGTATGTACCTAATTCAAGTCCTGGTCACCACCCTAGAAAAAAAAGACACAAGGCCCTGAGTTCAAGCTCCAGGTCTGGACCCAGGAGGCAGAACATTTAATATTAGTTGTGTGATCATCAGTAATAAGACACAGGTCTGGCCCAGCTATTAATAATGGGGTGTGCTCCTCCCACTTGGCCTGCAGGTACGGAGAAAGCGTGTGGCTGGCAAAGAAGGGGTGCCAGGGCATCACCCGCAAGTCCTGCAACCTGACCATGGAGACGGGCAACCTCACGGAGCTCTACTACGCCAAGGTGACAGCCGTGCGTCCTGGAGGTCAGCCATTCCCCAAGATCTCAGAGAGGTTCAGCTCCCTGCAGCACAGTGAGTGGGGAAGGGGAGAGGAAAGCTCTGTGTGTGTGTGTGTGTGTGTAACTTTTTCTCCATCTTCACTCCAACCTCCCCAATACAGACCATCTTCATCTGACCACATCCATCCTCCTAGCTGGGTGCCCCTCCCCCAGGTACCCCTTCCCCCCCAAAACTCCCCCACTCCTGCTCACTTCCTCAGAGCACCCCAGGGGTCTTCTCAACCTTCTCTTTCCCTGCTTGAAACTCCCCAGCACTTAAGCTCTCGAGTCTGACAAAGAAGATCCAACTCTGGGCCATGCCTGCCTGACCACTTCAGCAGGTCACAGCCTATGTTCTACCCCGGCACATTCAGCCTTCCTACCCCTGGGTCCCACCACCACCCTTTCAAAGAAATGTGGATGTGCACTATTTTAAAAAATGGTGGGAAGCAGGGACTCACATCCTGCCATCCTAGCTACTCAGGAGGCAGAGACATAGAGGATCAACGTTTGAAGCCAGCCCCAGCAGAAAAGTTCAAGAGACTCCATCTCCAATTAAGCAGCAAAAAGTTGGGCTGGAGCCATAGCTCAAGTGGTAGAGCATCAGCTGTGAGCAAAAAGCCAAAGGAGATTGAGAGGCCTTGGCTGAGTTGTTTTAAATCCTGGAGGGTAGTGGGCCCTTGGGGGACTTTTAAAAGTTAGAAGCAGGGTGAGTGGGGTGTATGAAATTGAAATATTAAAAGTGGATGTGAGGTTTTACTACATATACTAAAACAGCCATCTCTCTTTCTCTTTCTCTCTCTCTCTTTTTTTTGGGGGGAGGGTCAGTGGTGGGGCCTGAACTCTGGGCCTGGGTGCTGTCCCTCAGCTCTTCAGCTCAAGGCTAGCGCTCTAAGCACTTGAGCCACAACACCACTTCCAGTTTTCTAGTAGTTTATTGGAGATAAGAGTCTCATGGACTTTCCTGCCTGTACTGGCTTTGAACCGTGATCCTCAGATCTCAGCCTCCTGAGTAGCGAGGATTACAGGTGTGAGCCACTGGTGACTGGCTTAACAGCCATCTCTTAATGCAAACTGAGACCAGGAAAGGTCACTTGGCTATTTGGAAAAAGCAGGTTTTTTTATGTTTTTGTTGTCGTTGTTGTTGCTGCTGCTGTTGTCGTTTCTAATACTGGAGCTTGAATTCAGTGCCTTTCTCTCCTGCTTGGCTTATTTACTCATGGCTGGTGCCCTACCACCTAACCCATGCTTCTAGTCCAGCTTTTTGCTGGACTGAACCACCAGCACCTGGCTCTATTCTTTGTTTTCAAGACAGGATTGGCTTTGAACTGGTGATCCTCCTGCCTCTGCCTTTCCAGTGCTGGGATTATAGATGCTCACCAGTCTCGCTACTGGGTGTTATTAGGATCAGTAACCATCATTGACACCCCTAGAGCTGTCATTGCCAATAGACTAGCAGAAGGTTTTCCAGGGAATTCCAAGGTGGGGTGCAGGGACTGGGCAAAGCCACGGTCATTACCGAGCAGGACACCTCCCCGGGCACCTCCCATCCACCATGCCTGCGGACCCCATGCAACATGACCGGTTGGCTGGAGCTGGCATTTGCAGGAGCAGGAGGAGGTAGAGGAGGAATCACCGCTGTCCAGCCAGCCAGCCTCAGGCCCCTTCTGACTTTTTCTTCTCTCCTTTCTCTCTCTCTCTCTGCCCACCCCCCCCCTCCCCAGCGACCATCAAACCACCGGATGTAACCTGTGTCCCCAAAGTGAGATCCATTCAGATGATCATCCACCCGACACCCACACCCATCCTGGCAGGAGATGGCCACCGCTTCACCCTAGAGGAGATCTTCCAGGACCTGTTCTACCGCCTGGAGCTCCGCGTCAACCACACCTACCAAATGGTAAATGTATGTTCTTTCCTCATCGGGGAAATCCCTTCCCTCTCAGATGGAGGCCATGTGTTATTCTAACTAGAACGTGTTCCTTGAAGGAAAGAGGGACTCAAACTCAACCTCCCTGTTCTAGGTTCACAGACATGGTAGTATAGCAAAGGCTCTAACAAGTCCCACAAAGCCAAGGCTCCAACCAGTTTGATTTGTTTAATATAACTTTCTCAAATCTGTTTGGATAAAAGACCCCTTTTTGTGCATAACAGAGGTTTCCTTTGCCTAATCTAACATCCTAGAGCTGCCTTTGATCATATCCTCAGGTATACACTTTAGAAAATGTTGGAATCTGTTTCTGTGAATGCAGTTCTGTTTGCTGGTTCTCCACTGTTTATGGGAACTGTCCGCAGGGAGGATCTTAAGGTTTGGTAGGTGGTAATGAAGGGTGTAAGGCAAGAAAATACAATGGAATGATTTGCAAATTGTATCTGTGACCTGGGAAAGTCAGTGGGATTCCCACCATTGATCCACAGTTCATTGTAGGAATAGTGATTTGCTCCAGGGGCTTATAATCTAATGTGTGGGGGAGAATCAAAGCAAGAATTCAAACAGCTAAGCTGGGCACCTGTGACTCACACCCGTAATCCTAGTTACTCACGAGGCTGAGATCTGAGAACTTTCCTAGGCAGGAAAGTCCATGAAACTCTTATCTCCAATAAACCACCAGAAAACCAGAAGTGGCGCTGTAGCTCAAGTGGTAGAGTGCTAGCCTTGAGCTAAAGAGCTGAGGGACAGTGCCCAGGCCCAGAGTTCAAGCCCCATGACCAACAAAAAAAAAAAAAAAGAAAGAAAAACAAAAAAGAATTCAAACAGCTAAAGGGAGAGGACAGTAAAGATTTTGTGAGGTGGGGGCTGGGCGCTTGTGGCTACTGCCTGCAATCCTAGCTTCTCAGGAGGATGAGATTTGAGGATCAGTTTCAAGCTAACCTGGGCAATGAATTCTGTAAGACCCTTTTTATTTTTATTTTTTGGGGTCCGGTTGTGGGCTGAACTCTGGGCCTGGGCGCTGTCCCTCAGCATTTCAGCTCAAGGCTAGCGCTCTTCCACTTGAGCCACAGCACCACTTCCGGCTTTTTTTTTCTGCTTATGTGGTGCTGAGGAATCAAACCCAGTCCCTCATGCATGCAAGGCAAGTGCTCTACCACTGAGCCATCTTCCCAGCCCTCTGTGAGACTCTTATCTCCAATTAACTGCCAAAAAGCCAGAAGTGGAGGCCATGGTTCAAGTAGCAGAGCACTAAAGTTGAGTGAAAAAACTAAGGAAGAGCGTGAGGCACTGAGTTCAAGCCCCAGTGCTGGTGCTTGCATGCACACACACACACACACACACGCATATGCACACACACACACACACACACACACATGCACACGTACACACACGCACACACGCACACACACACACATACACACACACACACACAGATTTTCTTAAGATAGCACAAGTTGTCAGTTGAGCAAGAGCTAAAAGACTTGTAGAAAACTTTTGTGTACCAATCTCCACTTCTGAGGCACACCAGGTAACGTGTTATATCATATAATTCATGTCATATCATTGCATCTTCTTTCTGCTGTGAGGCAGGAGCTATCATCCCCATTTTCCAGATGAGAAATTATAGGCACAGAGATGTTACTGACATTGTTCAGCAAATAATAGCCTAGACACAATTCAAATCTAGTTCTTTTCCTCCTCCACCTAGGCCTACATTGTTCACTGTTGTAGTACCATGATATGAGAGAGAGAGAGAGAGAGGGAGGGAGAGGGAGAGAAATTGGGAAGGAGGGAGGAGAGGAAGAAAATCGAGGGTGATTTGGGGAAGCAAACTTTCCTATTTCGCTGGAACATGGAGCCACGGAAGGTAGTTGTTTACAGGGTTTCAGACCACTGGTGCCAGAATGTACTACTAAGACACCTATTTCAGACCCTGGGCCCTTGATAGTTAGCATTCATATCACATGTGTCCCCAGATACCAGACAGGAGGACTTATTTGGAAGTCATTGTCTGAGGGATTCCCAAAGAATATTTTAGAGCAGAGTAGCTTATATCATGGCAGCCAGGAAGCAGAAAAAAAGGAGACAGGAAGCGGCCAGGCCAAGGACATGCCCCCAGTGACCTATTTCTTCAACCAGGCTTTACCGCTTTGCAGTACTATCATCATACTATCACTCTATCAGGGATTCATCCATTTATCGCATCAGAATCCTCCCATCTAATGGTCCCCGAAAACCCCATCCAGGCACACCCAGAGGTACCCTGTACTAATCATCTCCAGGGTGTTTCTCAGCCCAGTCAAGCTGGCAGTGAAGATGAACCACCACAGGCCCCTTCCAATCTACTCAGTTATATGTTGGGGGTGTGATTGGTTTGATGGTACTGGAGATTGAACCCAGGGCCTCATACTTGCAAAGCAAGTGTTACATCACTTGAGCCACACATTGTCCCTAAATTTTAGTGAGCAACTTCAGGTCTTCTCGTTCATGGTGAAGTTTGAAAAGGTCCCTTATAGAGGGGCTGGGGGAGACCAGCCTGCCAAGGACTGCATTGCAGAGCCACAGGTGGTGGACAGGAGAATTCTTATCTAATTCTGTGGCCACTGGGAGCGATTGGACAATGCTGAACAGGAAGTGGCCTTATCACAGCCACTTTGGGTAAATATTTTGTTTTTGATTGTATATTTTATTAGTGTCAATTTCTAATTTAACTCAGTTTGTAATCAGAGAGCATGCACCGCATGGTTTTCAATCTATTGGGTTTTGCTTTATGGCCCATATGGCCAGCCGGGGAGCAGGATCCATGGGTACTTGAAAGCACGTGTATTAGACGGTACTTGCTGAAGTACTCTATAAAGGTCAGTTTGGTAATAGTGGTTAACTGAGCTATTCTGACTTCCATGTCTTTCCTGATTTGATGGAGAGTCCTGTTGCTCTTTTAGCTTATGAGAGTTTACACTTTCCAACTACAATTGTGGATTTGCCTGTTCTCCCCTCCCCTTAATTCTGCCCATCTCCCTCCCTCCCTTCCTTCCTTCTTTCCTTCCTTTCTCTCTCTCTTCCTTCCTTCCCTCCCTTTTTCTTCCTTCCTTCTTTCCTTCCTTCCTTTCTTTTTTTTTGGGGGGGTCCTGTTGTGGGGCCTGAACTCTGGTCCTGGGTGCTGTCCCTCAGCTCTTCAGCTCAAGGCTAACGCTCTACCACTTGAGCCACAGCGCCACTTCCGGCTTTTTTCTTTTTGCTTATGTGGTGCTGAGGAATCGAACCCAGGGCCTCGAGCATGCAAGGCAAGCGCTCTACCACTGAGCCACCTTCCCAGCCCCTATGGTATATTTTTATATCCATCTATTTTCAGTTTCTGTCTTTATATGTTCAAATACATCTATGAAAACAATATTCTGACAGGATTTGCCCATTTTATTGAGAAATAATTCACATATTAGAAATTCACATATCCTTGTTTTTCTTTGGTTTTTGTTATGGAATGGATCAAACCCAGGGCTCACATGCTAGACCAGCACTTTCCACCCACTGAGCTACACCCCAGCCTGAAATCATCTTTTTGTGTGTGTGTGCCACTCCTGGGGCTTGAACTCACAGCCTAGGCACAGCCCCTCAATTTTTTTTCTTAAAACTAGGCTCTGTCACTTGAGCCGCAGCTCCACTTTCAGCTATATTGATGGTTAATTGTAGGTAAGAGTCTCACAGACTTTCCTGACAAGGCCCTGAGTTCAATCTCTACTACCACCATACAAAAAAGAAAGAAGGGAGGAAGGAAGGAAAGAAAGAAAAAGAGAGAGAGAAAGAAAGAGAAAAGAGTTTTGCTTGTCTTTTTGTGGTGTCTTAGCAGGCTATGAACTTGGTTGGTTGAACTCCTTTTGTTTTGTTTCCCTTAGTATTGCTTTGGTTTTGTCTTTCGAAGCAGAATCTTGCTATGTAGCCCAGGCTGGCCTCAAACTCACAATCCTCTTGACTCAGCCACCCAAGTGCTGGAATTACATAGAGGTGCTACCATACCCAGCTATGTCTTTTAAAGCTGTACCCAGACTGCTTGGAGACTGCCCAGCTCATGCATACTTCAGCAGCCAGTCAGGGGTCTGGTCAGGGTTTAGCCCCAGAACGTGGGCCTCCATCTCTGTAGATCACTCCTGCCTCTCCTTTGCCCCTCATTTTCCTCCAGATTCTGTCTCTGGTTATTGAAGACATGGAAATTTCAGGGCTTCTCACTCATCGTTAGCCTCCAACAAGGTATGAACTGGGGTCTGATTCAGGATAAAAAATAAAGTGAAACTGGTGGCTCACACCTGTAATCCTAGCTATTCCCAACTCTGAGATCTAAGGACCTCAGTTTGAAGCCAACCCAGGCAGAAAAGTCCATGAGATCCTTATCTCTAGTTAACCACTCAAAAACAAGAAGTAGCACTGTGCTCAAAGTGGAAGCATGCTAGCCTTGAGCAAAAGAACTCAAGGACAGCACCCTGGCTCTGAGTTCAAGCCCCATGACCCACAAAAAATAAAATATACTAATAATTTTTAAAAGATAAAGCAGAGCCAGACACTGGTGGCTCACGCCTATAATCCTAGCTACTCAGGAGGCTGAGATCTGAGGATCACAGTTCAAAGCCAGTCTGGGCAGGAAAGTCTGTGAGACTCTTATCTCCACTAAACCATCAGAAAACTGCAAGAGGCACTGTGGCTAGCTTTGAGTTGAAGAGCTGAGACCCTGGGCCCAGAGTTCAAGCCCCACAACTGACAAAAAAAAAAAAAAAAAGATAAAGCAGGCTTGCCCATTGCCGCTCCTTCCCTCTTGTCTCCCATCTGCCATGTCTCTGACTCTAATACTTTTAGGCAGTTGTTGTTTTCTATCTGGCCACAGTTGGTAGCCATTCTTTGAGAGAGGGCTAGTCCAGAAGCTGAATAAAGGAGCATCAGATCTGGAAGGAAGGAAAGAGAGAGCAGGATGGGAAGCTGGGAGTGACCACATGGGATAACAAGATGGCGGCAGGAAAGCTTGGGGACAGGATTCTGATGCCTGGGTATCTCTCTTGAAATTCCATCACATGCTATTTGCCACGTGCAGTTTTGGTCACGTGACTCCCACCAAACAGTAAGCTGTAAAATCTATTCATAAGCTGTCTTTTTACAAAGTGTAGGAAGACAGGAGGAGGAGCAGGGGGCTCCTGGGGCTCGGTGGAGATCAGCACGTCAGAGGAAATTCTCTGGGTTCTCTGTTCCAATTCAGCACCTTGGAGGACAGCAGAGAGAGTATGAGTTCCTTGGCCTGACCCCTGAAACAGAGTTTCTCGGGACCATCATGATTTTGGTTCCCACCTGGTCCAAGGAGAGCGCGCCCTATGTGTGCAGAGTGAAGACACTGCCTGGTGAGTCAGCTGACTTTCCTCCCAGGGACCACAGGGACACTTGTCAGCACTCTGACAAGCCACGGAAGGGCGATCGGGTATATCATTAAGGTCCATTGAGTTATCAGATTGATTTGGTGGAGTCCTCATCCTCTGGCCCAAGTATGAATTTTCCCTTCTCATCAGCTTTGTATCTTCCCTGGCAAATGCACCTTCATATTAACCCAAGAGATTCATCTTGGGTATTAATGCTTCAGTATCTTCTAAAGCCGAGGGAGATTAAGAACCCATGGTAGGAACGGGAAGTTCTGCGGCACTAAGCACTGTCTCATTTTGCAGAATAGGAGGCCCAGGTTCAGAGTAGTTAAGGAACTGGCCCACAGTCACACAGAGGGTGTGGAATGGGGAGCGTGTTCCCTGCACTGTGCTGCTATAGAATAGTTCCACCTGCTGGGGGAGACGTGCCCACACTGCTTCCTCTCTGCTAGTGATGGGGAGGTCAAAGCCGTAGGAGGCAGCAGTGGTGGGAAGGGTGGGGGATGGGGGGAGAAGCAGTCCCCAGCTGGACCGCATGCTCACGCTCATGTCCACAGGCAGCAGCTGTTCCAACCAGGCCACGTTTAGGACAGAGGTGACTTCGGGAGCTGGCTACTGCGGGTGACCCTCAGGGACAAAGGGTTCCATCCACCAGCTATATTCAGAAACTCAATTCATCCGTTTCCCTGAGTCGGGAGGGCACTGGGTTCTCTGCCTGATTCCCAGGGCAGGCCTTGGCAGAGGAGCCCTGCCTAGGGACACCGGGCCTGCCCTTCCCAGAGACGGGAACAGAGCCTGGCAAGAGCGGTACCAGGGAAAGAAGCTGGCTCCATGGGCAGTGAGCTGGAGCTGTACCTAGTCCTTGACTCTCTCCCTCGCCTGTACTAGACAAATCTTACCCTTCCCTGCCCATCCCTGCTCTGTCCTGTGTGACAACCAGCAGGCAATTCCACGTTCTTCCCTCTAGTGGCGTCTCTTCTGCTGTGAAGACGGGACCTTTCTATGTAGTCCAGGCTGATCTCGAACTCATATTCCTCCTGCTGGGATTGTAGGTGTGTGGAACCATACCCGGCAAAACACTGTTTTCCCTCCTAAGATTGTAGCTATTTCTACCTGAAGAACACTTCTTGATGAGTATTTCTTGCTGACATAAAGAAGGTACTTTATCCTTAAAAAAACAAAACATATTTAAAACAATTCCTACCACTTATTAACTATTACTCTACCGCCAAGAAGCTAGGGGACAGCATCCAGTCTCTGAGTTCCAGCCTCAGGACTAGCTTGCACATGTACACACCTGCATACATGCACACACACACACACATACACACAACACACACACACACACACAAGACAAAAGGTAGAGCAGAGAGCATGCCTAGCACCTCTAATATTTCATACTCCTTACTCCTCTGCTGGCAATTTTTATGACTCCATCTTGCCTTCCCCTGGGTGAATGGAGAAGATCTATCAGGCTGAGGAATGTCTACGTTTCTGTCTTGTTCTGGTACAAGGAGTGGTGGTCCTCCACTAATGACATGCTTCTCCCAGAGGATCATGTGACAGGGGACAGGACATTGCCCAGCCTGGGAAGTTGACCCAGAGAGACTGAGGCAGGGGGCTCAAAGTGGGGGCTCTCAGATGCCCAGGGCTTGCTGGGTGGCTGCACACACTGGAGCTGGTGACAAAGTCCCCACACTGAGGCCACACGTGTTAAGAAGAGACTTGGAGGCTGAATCCCAAGGAGTGCAAACTCACTTTACCCAAGTCTGGAACCACATCTTCTTTCCCAAGCCCTTCACAAGTCTCAGTAGACTGCTGAGAGCATCCTACCAAGAACTGACTTCCCCTGACCCAGCGGTGCCACAGCAGGAGAGGTGCCATACCAAAGACCGACTTCCCCGTCCCAGAGACGCCAACCACAGGGACCGCCTGGTCACTGAAGCTCTGGTCTCCCCCTCCCTCACTGTTAGGAAGATGTCACCTTCCCAGACTCCTTTACTCCTGACACCCAGCCCCTGGCCTGGGTGGTAGAGAGGAAGGACAAGCCCTCACTTTGTACCCCCTCCCCTCCCCCCACCTCTGTCCCTGAAACAAGCAGGAGGGTCCCTGTCCTCCAAAAAGACCCCCACTCTTTTTTTTTGTCGGTTGTGGGGCTTGAACTCTGGGCTTGGGCGCTGTCCCTCAGCTCTTCAGCTCAAGGCTAGAACTCTACCACTTGAGCTACAGCGCAACTTCCGGTTTCCTGGTGGTTTATTGGAGATAGGAGTCTCACGGTCTCTCCTGCCCAGGCTGGCTTTGAACCGCGATCCTCAGATCTCAGCCTCCTGAGTAGCTAGGAAGACCCCCCACTCTTGTGCTCCCTGTCCATGCCCCTACCCCAGGAGATGGACAGATCCATCTCCATCCCGTGTCTCGAATTCTTTGCCCCATTCTGAGTACCAGGACCCCGAAATTCCTTGGCTATGTAACCCGAGCCTGCTTCCCACCCAGGCAGCCTTCTCTCTTGGTCCTTCCTTCTAAGGGTTGCAGTGGCTGTGTGTAAATCCTCAGCCCATAGTGAGACCCACCTGTGGCTGTTTGTGGGTGTGTGTCTATATGGACTAGGATAGCATGGTCGTGGGCAGAGAGGGAGGGAGGCTGCAAGGCTAAGGAGCTATGAGGGTTTTCAGTGAACCTCTCTATTAAGTGTAGCCCAAGAGTGTCCGTTACTGGGACAAAGCCCAGCATTGCCAGCCTCATGTGTCCCTCTCTGGTCTCTTCCTTACTAGACTGGACTTGGACCTACTCCTTCTCGGGCGCCATCCTCTTCTCCATGGGCTTCCTTGTGGCTGTGCTCTGCTACCTGAGCTACAGATACGTCACCAAGCCACCTGCGCCTCCCAGCTCCCTGGTGAGTCACCTACCTGGAGTAGGAACAGGGCAGGGCCCCAAAGTTCCAGAGGATCTGAGGACCCCTGGGTCTCCAGATAAAAGGCTGCAACAGGCTGGGGTTGCACCATCCTTGCATTTCTTTCAGAGAAGTCAGAATTTCAGATTGTCATGTGAAAGCTCCCAGTTTCCAAACATTGGCAATTTGTGGTCAAACTCCTGTGTAAGCCATGCAATCTCACGGTATCCCCCCTCTCCTAGACCCCATTCCATGACAGGTCAGTGCTGCCCACTTCTCTCCTAAAGTAGCCCAGGCCCCCTGAGCCCATGAGGCTCAGGTACTAGCAGCTCAATGTCAGTGATGGTGTCCAAGTCCACAGGAGCACAGTTGGGGAGGAGGGTCTTAAAGTTCTCTCTGCTTCCCCATGGAGGATGCCCCCTCCTATGTCAGCCTCAGAGAGCTTAGGACATGCCTTAAGGGGTGGACTATCACTGTCCCCACAGGATGTCCAGCGAGTCCTGACCTTCCAGCCTCTGCGCTTCATCCAGGAGCACGTGCTGATCCCTATCTCTGACCTCAGCGGCCCCAGCAGCCTGGTCCAGCCCATCCAGTACTCCCAGGTCATGGTCTCTGGCCCCAGGGAGCCCTCAGGAGCGACACAACTGCATGGCCTGCCTGAGATGGCCTACTTGGGGCAGCCAGATGTCCCCATCCTCCGGCCTTCCAACCTCCCCTCTCCTCCAACATCCTCCCCTCCTCCATACACCCCAAAGGATACCCCTGAGCTCAGCCCCCCGTCCTATGCACCTCAGACCACCCCTGAAGCTAAAGCCCCTTTCTATGTTTCACAGCCCGTCTCCAAGGTCCAGGCTCCCTCTTACACCCCCCAGGCCACTCTGGACCACTGGCCTGCCTCCTATGGGGTATGTATGGGAGAGTCTGGCAATGACTCCCCCACTCGGACCCTTTCTAGTCCCAAGGCCAGAAAGATCAAACTGAAAGATCCACTCCAAAGAGAGACGCGGACAGGTAGCTGCCTGTCAGGAGACTTGTCTCTACAGGAAGTGACTTCCTTGGCCATGGAGGATCCCCAAGAAGTGAAATCACTTCCTCAGACTCTGGGGCTTTGCATGGACAGAGTCCCTGACCTGGATATGTTACACAGTGGGGATCCAGGGACATCCTCCTACCTAAAGGACCCGCTCTCCCTCCTCTCCTCAGTCCAGATCGAAGGCCACCCTGTCTCCCTCCCTTTGCACTCCCCTCCCCTCTCATGTTCCTCCTTGCACCAGGGCATAAGTCTGCTAGAGTCCCTGGTGTGCTCCAAGGAGGAGGGAGCAGCAGCCGAGGCCGGGGCCACGTGCCCTGGGGTCTCAGGGCTGGAGCAGCCCTTGGAGGTAGACTCACTTTTCAAAGATCTGGCCTTGACTGTGCAATGGGAGTCCTGAGGGTGGACGGGCCTTGGCTCCCTCTTGCCACCCCTGGCAGGCTCTCCTTGGCTGCCAGCCCCATGCCCAGCCATGGCACATGTGCTGTAGCCCAGCCCAGGAGAAAGCAGAGGAAGAGGACACAGGACCTGCCAGCGTGCATTCCCAGGGATCTACAAGCATCAAGAGGATGCCGGTGGAGGAGCTGCATGCCTGCATGTGCAAATGACCTGTGCCAAAGAACCTGGCAGGGAATGGCAGACAGAGAGCAGGGAGGAATGCAGGGAACCTGCTGGAAAACCGAGAATGGCTCACCCCGTGCCTGGTAATCTAGCTCAACTGAGAATGAGGTGTTTCCCTCCTCTGGAGAAAGGAGGCTGAGCAGAACCAGGCCAAGCTGTGTTTCTGCTAAGGTGGGAAGTGGCACTGTGGCTGGCCTATAGGCAGGGACACCGCCAGCAGCTCACTCCCCATCAGAAATGAACCTCTGCCACAGTCCAGTGTCCCTCCTGGGCTGGAGGCTTCACCTCACAACCAAGCCACAGACTGTGCAAGTTCTGCAGGCAGGACTGATGTCTCAGACCTATCCTGAGATTGGGATTTGAAAGGAACCCAGAGCCACGGAAGCCAAAGGAGGAGAGGTACGCACCTGGCAACTTGGGAAACAGCCTTGGTTAGGCTCAGTCCATCGGGGTTCAAATTCCAGCCTTGCCCTGTGCCAGCTGTGTGACTTCAAGCAAGGAAACCACTGCTCAGAACCTCAATGTCCACATCTGCCTGCTGGACCACACAGGGGTCGTGTGCAGAGGAGATTCGAGTCTGCGAACTACTTGTGCTGGGCAGATCCCAATAAATAGTAGCTGTTTGCTGTTGGGATTTTGTAATGTAACTAGGGGATAACTGGGGGACATAAGGAGGGAAGGGCTTCTTATGGGGGGGAGCCCCTGGATGGTGGATACCCTTGGTTGGGCACCCTCTGCTCTCCCCCCCTCCCCACCCCGTCCCCTCCACCCCAATATCTGAGAAATAGAATCACACTCGCGCTGCCTTGGTGTGAGGCTTCTGGGAGCACACAGCTCTTTCTTCCACACCCAGCTTCCACTTCCCCTTCTTTTCCCCTCCCCGGTCCCTTCCTGATGACAGGTGTCGGGTTCTTATCTGCGCGTAATTAATATTTAACATCTCTTCAGGGTCACTGGCCTGCTTGCCCCGCCCACACACTGCAAGCAAGAGTACTCCCTGTCCCTTGGGGCACCCTTGGCCAAAGGTCAACTGTCTTCACCCTGTTGATTAGTGAGGAGCACACAGCAGCTGGGTAGATCCCCAGCCAGCCAGACCAGGGACTACAGAGGTGCTCCGCCTGGCCATAAATGTCTCTTCCATTTCCGCAGGAGCACGTGGGGAGGGGGGCAGTTCTCAGAGGGCGGAGTCTGAATGTCTAAGGAGAAAGGGGGATGGCGCTGAGCCTGTGACCCTCCTCACACTGGCCCTGGCACCTCTGAGGGGCTTCAAATCCCCCCTGAGCTTCCTCAGTCACCCCCTCACCAGTCACTACAGGCCTGCAGAAGGGCAGAGTCCAGCTAGAGGGCAAGCGTCCAAGTTTCCCAAGGAGCCAGCTGGGGCTTTAACATTCCTGAGAGTCCTAGGCTCTGACTCCATTACCAGGAAGGCCCAAAGCCCCACCCTGCCCCAGCCCATCTAGAGAAAGGTCCATCTCCAAGGGGGCACCTGCCTGCCAGGATCGGGACCCCTTTAAACTCCGGGACCCCTAGTGAGTCCCTAGGTAACTAAACGAATTACATTTACTTTAACTCATTACATTTGTTTTAAGTAAGTCATCACTTTTATTTGAATCATTGAATTTATTTTGATTAAGTGAGTTTATTTTAACCAATTGATTTTCTTTATTTCTTTCTTTATTTTTGTCAACCATGGGGCTTGAACTCAGAGCCTAAGCACTGTCCTTGTGCTCTTTTGCTCAAGGCTAGCGCTCTACCACTTTGAGCCACAGTGCCACTTCCCATTTCCCAGTGGTTAATTGGAGATAAGAGTCTCACAGATTTTCCTGCCCGGGCTGATTTTGAACCAAGATCCTCAGATCTCAGCCTCCTGAGTAGCTAGGATTACAGGCATGAGCCACCAGTGCCTGGCCTGATCAATTTTATTTTCATTGACTGAATACATTTCTCTTAATGGATCCATTAAAGCAAACCCTGGGAAAGACTAACAATAATGAGGGTTGCAGTGTGAGTGTAGATCTGATCACCCACAGCCACCATGTGACTGATGGGGTGGGTAACATATTCAGCCCAGATACACTGGCCAACAAGGTGACTGCATCTGGAGCTGGATGGAGCAACATGGTATGAATTTTTATCGCGCTACTCAGAACAGCACGCAACTTCCAGCTTATGAATTGCTTCCTTCTGGAATATTCCACTACATAATTTTGGAATGTCATTGGCTGTGGAAAAGCAAAACAGTGAGTAAGAAGGGGCCACTGTCGGTGTGTGTCAAGGGGTAGTAGTGTCGAGGGGCAGCTCCGGCTCCTGATGGCTGGCCTCATCTTCCTTCCATCTATGTGAGGTCTTACTGTTGGTGTTTCTCAAGGAAGGAAACTGTGGCTTGGAAAAGCCATGTACTGTCCTGGTGAACTTGTCCCAGCATGAAAGTCCCCTGGGGAGCTTCTGAACCTGAACCTTCCGGAACCCCACCTAGCCCTGAGAAGCCCGTGGCTCCTGGAGCACCCATGCGTTTAACAAGCTCATTAAAAAAGCATCGCTATCTTTAGTTGTACAAACGAATTGGCATTCACCAAAGTAGTTTATGAATACAGGGTTTCTTGACCAATGCCACCCCTTTCAAGCTCTTTTAGGGGTTCCTCTCCAGCAAGTGGAGGACATACCACCTTCAAAGCAAGTGCCTCCCTCCACCGCTCCAACTCACACCTGCAGTGTGACCCCAGCACACCCCCTGGATTCCAAGGCTGGGGTGCCTGAGAGTGCTGCCCTCCCATGTCCAGGGCTCCAGGCACACACAGAGGGCTCCATCTGGAGCTGGACGGAGCGACATGGCGTGAGAGTTTATCACGCTACTCAGAACAACATGCAACTTCCAGCTTATGACTTGCTTCCTTCTGGAATAGCCCATTGCATATTTTTGGAATGTGGTTGGGTGAAAGTAGTGGGGACCACATGGGAGAGCAAGACAGTGGGTAAGAAGGGACTGCACATTTCCACCCAGAGAATGGAGGCTGACTCCTGCAGGTTCTACCAGGCTAGAATCTTCTCAGTCCCCACCAAGTCTATGTACCAACTGGACAAGGGAGCTATGACCCCTGTCTCCCTAGAGACTTGTCCCTGCTGCTTTCTCCACCCTGCCTCCTAGACAGTGGGGGTGGGGTGGGGGTGGAATAAACGCTGAGACAGGGATGACCAAGGAGAGAAACAGCCCTGCTTTCCCACCAGTGCTGACGCAAGGAGGGTGGGGTCACAGCTCTGAGATCTCAGCCCAGGGCTCTGCCCCTGTTTGAATTCAGGTTCCCCTCCCACCCGTGGGAGACAGAGGCAAGGGAAGCCTGGACCTGCAGGCGTGAAGACAACAGCCCCTGGAATTAACTGGAGTATGAGAGCAGAAAACAACACTGAGCCAGGTCATTCTCCATTGCAGCCATCAGGGGGAGCTATTGGCAATGGACAGTTTGGTTGCTCTGTGGAATAATGGCATGGAGGCTGGGTAGCTGCGGCCAAGAAAATCAGAAGAAACAAAAGAGAGAGAGAGGAAAGGAAGAAAGAAGGAATTATAAGCTGGGTACCTTGCCAGGATTTTTACACACTTTGACCACATTTGAATCCCACAAGCATTCTGCCAGTCAGATGGCTATGGTCTGAATGTTGGTGTCACTCAATTCTCCAGAATTGTGGGGAATCATTTTGTATTTTTACCTTTCCTGCTCCAGGCTAGTGCTCTATCACTTGAGTCAACCTCTACTTTCAGCTTTATGATGGTTAATTGGAGATAAGAGCTAATTCTCATAAGTAGCTAGGATTACAGGCATGAGTCACTGACACCCAGCCAGGCTAAGGTGCTTTGTTGGGGCAGCCAGAACAGAATGAAACCATATTGATCCACCCATTCATTTATTTTCAAACAGAACCTAAATTGGGACTTCAGCTGTATGCCAGGGCCTATTCTTGGGGCTAGGAATCGAGGGAACAAGACAGACAAGAAAGTTTCCTACTGTCTAAAACCTTGTCTCCAATTTACAGAAACTGAAACCCAGAAAGGATGTCAAGTTCCCTTCTCGGTCGTGAGTAGAGGAGCCAAGGTTGGAATCTAGGCCAAAGTTCTTATAACTCCAGGTCACCTCCCTCTGCTCAACTCTATGACGGAGGACTGAGGAACACAGGGAGCACCAAAGCTAAGAGGATGGGGTGAGAGGAGACCCTCAGTATTCCCAGACTTGGGGAGTTACTACAAGAGTTCTTACTGAGCCAATATTTCCTATGTGAGAAGCTGTTTCTCCTATGGGGAGAATGCTGGGGATTAAAGCCAGAGCCTTATACTTGCTTAGCAGATGCTCTATCACTTGAACTGTGCCCCAGCCCTGTCTGCTTTTAGGTTTGTTTGTTTTTTTTTCAAATAAGATCTTGCATTTTTGCCCAGGGATCCTTTCTCCTATCTATGCTTCCTGTATGGCTGGAATGACCGGCATAAGCCAACCCACCCAGTCTGTTTGTCAAGATGGAGTCTCACTAACTTCTCCTTCCCAGATTGGCCTTAAACTTTGATCCTCCTATCACTACCTCCCAAATAGCCCAGCCTGGGAAGCTGAATGGCTTTTATTTGAATCTTTTCAACCTGACCATGAGGCAGACATTATTGCCCTCCATGGACCGTACAGATCCTGAAACCAGAATGGTTAAGTGAGTTGCTCTCAGTCATACAGCTAAGAGATTGTGAGACAGAGATGGAAGCCCTGGACAGTATCATTTGATCATTCTGCTCTGCCCTGTTGTTTATTATCCCCCCCCACCAGGCTGCCTCAGAGGGGTGGGGCCACAGGTCCGTTTAAATAGTTGGGGGGGGCAGTTGGGAAGGTGGCTCAGTGGTAGAGCGCTTGCCTTGCATGCATCAGGCCCTGGGTTCAATTCCTCAGCACCACATAAGCAGAAAAAGCCAGAAGTGGTGCTGTGGCTCAAGTGGTAGAGCTCTACTCTTAAGCTGAAGAGCTGAGGGACAGCGCCCAGGCCCAGAGTTCAGGCCCCATAATCAGAAATAAATGAATATAAATAAATAAATAAATAGTCGCAGGAGGAGGGGATGGAGCTTCCTTTATGTACAGACTCCCACCTAGCCCTCTTACAGTGAGTGCCCAGATGGGCCGGTAGAAGGTGGCAGGGGAGAGGGGCTTGGGGAGGGCAGGCTCACTGAGCTTCTGCCCCAAAGTGTGGCTAAGGGAGAGACAGAATCGTGGGCAGGAGCCTGAGCTTAGGGGTGAAGTGCTTGCTGGTGCTCACGCCTTCTCTTCAGGTACTGGGAAGAACAAGAACCAGGGGTGGCCGTCCCTGTGGCTCAGGAGGAGGCAGGTGAAGCAGCCATGCTCTCTGGACTAGAGCTGGGATAGCCTGGCACAGACCCCACTCATTCTCTGAGACCGAGCCTGGCGTTCTTTCCTGATAGCTCCTCAACTCTTCTCTTGATCCTGTCCCAACATACACAGCCATGGTAGGCTGGATGGCACAGGAGCTGTTGGGGTGGTGGAGAGTAAACAAGCCAGCAATGGCCTGTGAGCACCAGAGGCTTGTTTCCCAGCCACCATCTTCACAAAGGATCTGGAGCTGGAGAAGTCAATCACCTATCCCAGGGTGCCCAGCAGTGAGAGGGAGAGCTCAGACCAGAAATCCCACTGGAAAAGCCACCCATGCCCACCTTGCACACACATTGCCTGAGGCAGCGGAACATTGGAGCTGGAGTCTGGTGCAAGGCTGGAACTGGGGGAGGAGCAGCCGCGGGGGTGGGGGCTGCTCCACCTGTCACTGCTGCGGGCCAGGACGGGACAGCACCCCCCCCCCCAGCCATAGTTCCCATCCATTGTCACCACACTGTCTTGGCATTGCTATATTTAAGACGGTGAAGCAGGCTCCAGGATCACATTCTTCACCCAGTCCTTACTGAGCAGGGAGCAGGAAGAGTCAGAGGACCCCTTCATTCTAGAAGCCTCTCCTCCTTTCTTCTCTGAGACACTTGAGTGGATCCAGCTGCTTTTGTGAGTCACCTTCAGGGATTGGGGTAAGAAGGGAAAGCTCAGAAAGCGAAATCTCAGCTTTCTGTGTGTGTGTGTGTGTGTGTGTGTGTGTGTGAGAGAGAGAGAGAGAGAGAGAGAGAGAGAGAGAGAGAGCCCAATCTTCATTGTGTTCCTGGGTTATCTGAGCTGAATCCTGAGTGATATGAAATTCCACCAAAAAAAAAAAAAAAGGCCCTTGGGGACATGCTGCCACAGGCATTTCTGCCATCACCGGGCAGCCATCAGCAGGACTAGGGTGAGCTGGCAAGTCGAGCAGACTTGCAGCAAGCTGGGTAAGCCCTGCTTGGCCAACCCTGCTGTCCTGGGATTCTGAGGACTTCCCCAGCCCAGAGATTAACTGGCAGGAAACAGAAGCTCCACTGGGAAACTGAGGCTCTGCCTCACCTACCAGGGCATGTCACCCTAGCCCCCAGGGTGCCGGCGAGCCACAGCTTGTCCTGGGCTACGTGGGAAGCACCCCGGCTGTGGCCACCCTTCACAGCGACCCTGCCATCGACTCTTTGCAGGTTTTAGCTGGCCACGACTCGATCTCCAGAAAAGGGGGAGAGGACTTCCTAGGGTGGGGGGCTTAGCAAAGGCTGGGGTGCAGACCCCCCCTCTTGGCAGGCCCACATGGAAACCTCAGCCTGTGGGAAAAGGGCAGCAGAGGCCGCAAACTTGTCCTTGCTTAATCCCACACGCCAACTGGTGCTTTAAAAAGCATCGATGGCTCACCCTCTAAAGTGGGGGTCTGGCTGCTCCCAGCCTTGAGCCCGGGGACAAGCGCCAGGCAGCCCCGTTGTGCTAATCAGGATGGAGCATGCAGGGGCAGGGAGCCAGCACTGATGCCAGCCAATGCCAGCCATCAGCCAGCCTGGCTGCCGGAGCCACTGTGTCCCAGGACAGCAGAGCCTCGCCCTGCTCCAGCGAGGATGGAACCCACAAAGCCCTGTGCTATGAGGAGGAGAGGATGCAATGGGCGGGGCTGGCTATTCCTCAGGGTATAGACATAGCCTCTTCCATTGGGCAGAGTCAGAGTAAAGCTGGAGGGGTGACTGTTAGTGTCACTGAGAGTCAGAAGAAACCCACAGAGCATAGGGGGCAGCCCTTGGTGTCCACTACTCTGTAGCAACCCACTCTCCTTCCTGTTGTCCTGAGTGGATGCCCAAAGGGATCCAATTTCAGGACTCGGAAGGAATGAATGACCAGTAGCTTGGCCACTAGCAACCTGAGTCCCAAAAGCCCTATAACAGCCCTTCTGGGGGCCAGAGGGCTCCCCACCTCACCATGGGCTGAGAGAGAATTCCCCAAGGTGCTGCATTCCAAAGACAGTCTACATGTGTGCATACACATACAGGTGCACACACACACATGCACACATATACATATGTGCAAAATGTGCACATGTGTACAAGCGCAGGTACGCACACATACATATACACATACACATGTGTGCATACACATGGGTGTACATGCAAGCTTGCACATGTTTGCACATGCATGTGCAACTATGCACGCCTGTGTGTATGTGCACCCAACATGCATATACATGTGCACATGCATATACTCACATGTATGCACACACGTACATGTGTGTACACATGCACATATAGGCACACCTGCACATATGCATACAGACATATACACATATACACACGCACATGCACACATCGCCACCACTGAAAGGGCACCCCCAAACCCAGCAGTGGCACTGAGGCCCCGGTCTCAGAAAGAACTGAGTGCAAACCCCGCACACAGCCGCAAGCCCAGAGCCTCCCACGCCCTCTGCTGGCCTCTCTGTCTCTGTAGTTCACTCTGCCCCAGGTCGTGGGTCAACCTGGTCCAAGCCTCCTGGGCATCTCAAGAAGCTCAGACCTGAGATTCAGGAATACAAAGGAGTGACTTGTGCTCCCATTAAAGACAGTTCATGTAGCCCACTGTGTCCCCAACCCTGCCTGGCCTTGAGTAGGCACTTGACCTAGAGGTCAACAGAGCTGGGAGCTGAGTACAGCCAGTGACTTGGGCCTATCATCCTAACTACTCAGGAGGCTGAGATCTGAGGGTCACAGTTCAAAGCCAGCCCAGGTAGGAAAGTCCATGAGACTCTTATCTCCAATTAATCACCAGAAAACCAGAAGTGACACTGTGGCTCAAGTGGTAGAGCACTAGCCTTGAGCTGAAGAGCTGAGGGACAGCACCTAGGCCCAGAATTCAAGCCCCACAAATGACAAAAACTAAAACAAACAAAAAAAGCAAAAGGGAGTGGAGGCATGGCTTAAATAGCAAAGTGCCAGCCTTAAGCAAAAAAAATTCCAAAAAACAAGATCCTGAAGCCCTAAGTTCAAGCCTAATATTGGGATAGATAGATAGATAGATAGATAGATAGATAGATAGATAGATAGATAGATAGATAGATAGATAGATAGATAGATAGATAGAAAAATAGGTGGGTGGGTGGGTGGGTGGATGGATGGATAGACAGATAGATAAATAGTTGGCTGGGAGCACGGCTCAGTCGTTAAAGCTCCTTCCTGGCATGCACAACCCTAGGTTCTATCCCAAGTACTGGGGGAAAAAGTCACATCTATCACATGCAAAGATCTGAAGTAACTAGTAAGGGGAGGGTTTTTGTTTCCGGAGTTCTTGTTTTTGTTTTTTGGATTTTGCTTGTTTGGTGCAGGTTTGGGGAACTGAACTCCGGGCCCAGGCACTGTCCCTGAGCTTTGTTGCTCAAGTTTGCATCTATTGCTTTGAGCTACAGCACCTCTTCTGGCTTTTTTGGTACTTAATTGGAGATAAGAGTCTCACGGACTTTCCTGCCTGGGTTGGCTTCAAACTGTGAACCTCAGATCTCAGCCTCCTGCGTAGCTAGGGTTGCAGGTACAGCAGCACACGGAGGGGTTTTCTGTACTTGTAAAGTGCAGATGAGAAGCATGCAAAGGATCAGAGGAGAGAACATTCTAGAGGAGCTGTCCCTCTTCATCTCCAACCTCTTAGGGAAATAGTGCAGATGTCTGACACTTGTGTGCTACTTAGTAAGCACCAGGAGCTCACCTAACCTTTACAGCTGCCCTGGGCGGATAGCAGACTCATTTTACAGAGGAGAAAACCAGGTCCTGGAATCCAGGATCACACTCCTGTAAGCTAGGACGAAAGTGAGGCTGATGGACTCCACCTGCGGGACCAGCCCTGCGTCTCCACGCGTAACCCTGAACTCTCGAGCTAACTAATGTAGCATCCTCAGGTGGGGCTTGAAAGCGTAGCTGCAGTTAAGTGGCAGGGGCGGGGAGGGGCCCTGCCAGGAATGAAGCCAGGGGTGCAGGACTGGGTCAGGGGTCGGCATATGCAGAGGAAAGTCCACCCTTGGACATCAGTGCTCGGTGCCTGGAAGCTAAGGCCAGGAGGGGACGGCCACGGCCCCAGACAGCATGGCCTGGCCAGGCTGGCTGCTGTCAGCAGTGGCTGACAGGAAGGATCTGCTCCTGAACAGGGAGGGGGAAGGGGGAAGTCACTTCCTTAGATGCGGAGGCACTGGGGAGGGGGTGGAGAAGCCAGGCTCAGCACAGACAGGTGTTCTCTCTCTCCAGCCTCGGCTAGTCTGTGTGCTCCCTAGAGAGAACCCCTCCCCTCAAAACCCTCCCAGAGACAGCGTGGGACAGGCACCCGATGGGATGACCGTGTACCCTGGTCTTGCCAGGTTGTTGTCTTGCAGCCATGACTCTGCCCCACGGCCTTGGAAGCGCCGGGGAGTCCCAGGCCCCCCAGACCATGCAGGTCTACAGGCTGGAACACCGGCAGGAGGAAGAGCAGAAGGAGGAGCGGCAGCAGAGCCTGCACATGGGCTCCTCTGTGCGGAGGAGGACCTTCCGGAGCAGGTGGGAGCACGGAGGGCCCCCTCCTTCATGCCCCATTGTGTGGGAGGAGGCCCAGCTCAGCCCTCTGGAGACCCCTGTCTGATGGGGAGGCATCACCCCCAGCCTCAGGAGGGAGGCACGGGTTTGCTCCCTGGAGGCCTCAGTTTGAGGCCTCCGGTTCCCTGTCGAGCAGCGCAGCCCTATAGTCTCAGCCAGACCCCCTCTGCCCGCCATGACAACCCCTTCTCTTGAGCAGTGAGGAAGAACATCAGTTCAGTGCCGCCGACTACGCCCTGGCCGCCGCCCTGGCCCTCACAGCCTCCTCTGAGAGGTCCTGGTAAGTCCTCTGGCCGACTCAGGAGGAGGCCCCTCCCGTCCCTGCCTCACAGCTGGGCTCCCGTGGGAGCTTAAAGAACTTGCTGGAAGTTACACATGGAGGGAAAGTGGTCAGGTAGGGGTGTAAGCCCAGAACTGTCTCCCCACAAAGCTTACACACCCGTCCTCTGGGAGCATTGTCCCCAAGGGGCCAACACCATCAGCCATGCAGGAAGGGCTGGAGGCAAGAGGAAGCCAGAAGCAGGCCCCAAATCTCCCAGAGTTCAGAGACAGGACTTCTGAGTAGGGCTCCGGAGAAACCGTGGCTGGATGTAGGAAAGACCCTGGGTTGGAGTCCCTGAGTCAGGGTCCTGTGACAAGTCAGTCCTGATATGAGTCACTGAGCCTCAGTTCCCTGCCTGACCACTTCTTGTTGTTGTTGTTTGTAGTAGGGCTTGAACTCAGGACTTGGGCGCTGTCCCTGAGCTCTTTTGCTCAAGGCTAGTGTTCTACCACTTAAGCCACAGCACCACTTCCAGTTTTCTGGTGGTTAATTGGAGATAAGAGTCTCATGGATGGGCTGGGAAGGTGGCTCAGTGGTAGAGCGCTTGCCTTGCATGCATGAGGCCCTGGGTTCGATTCCTCAGCACCACATAAGCAAAAAGAAAAAAGCCGGAAGTGATGCTGTGGCTCAAGTGGTAAAGTGCTAGCCTTCAGCTGAAGAGCTGAGGGACAGCGCCCAGGCCCAGAGTTCAGGACCCATGACCGGAACCAAAAAAATAAATAAATAAATAAATAAAAAGTCTCACGGACTTTCCTGCCCAGGCTGGCTTCAAATAGCAATCCTCAGATCTCAGCCTCCTCAGTAGCTAGGATTACAGGTGTGAGCCACTGGTGCCTGGTGCCTGACCACTTTCATAAGAAAACAGGCCCCCAAAGGCTGGCAGAGGAGCCCTGCAAATTCTCCCAATAACGAAGCCTATGTTAGGCAACCACTGCAGGCAGACCCTTTCCAGGTATCTGGACACAAATCAGTGTTTATCCTCAAAAAGTGTAGGGCACCAGTGGCTCACACCTGTAATCCTAGCTACTCGGGAGCCTGAGATGAGAGGATTTGGTTCAAAGCCAGCCCAGAGTAGGAAAGTTTGTGAGATTCTTATCTTCAATTAACCAACAAAAAGCTAGAAATGGAGCTGTGGTTCAAGTGGTACAGAAAAAGCTAAGAGAGCCAGGGGCTGGTGGCTCTTGCCTATAATCCTAGCTACGCAAGAGGCTGAGATCTGAGGATCATGGTTCAAAGCCCTCCCAGGCAGGAACGTCTGTGAGGCTTTTATCTCCAATAAAGCACTCAGAAAACTGGAAGTGGCGCTGTGGCTCAAGTGGTAGAGCGCTCGCCTTGAGCTGAAGAGCTGAGGGACAGCACCAGGGCAGAGTTGGGCATGGGATGGAGGTGGCCAGGCCACCCCAGGCCATGTTGGAATTCCCGTGGCTTCTGCTGTGGCAGGGAAGGTCAGCTGAGGCGGGAAGCTGTGGATCTAGAGGAGCGAGGGCAGAAGCGGATAGGCTTTGGCAACGACCTGGAGAGGACGGAGGTCAGCTGCCTGCGGACCCAGCGGCTGCTGCGCCAGAGTCGGGACTGGAAGGCACTGCGGAGGCAGGTGGGTGCGCCGGGGAGCCCCCACAGCCCCCTTCCCCAGGGGCATCCAGGAAAGGACCTGGGCTCTGTGTGTGAATCCTGGCACCCTGACCCTTTCTCGCTGTGTGACCTGGACCAGGTGACTCGCTGTTCCTGAGCTTTAGCTTCAGCCAATCTGTCACTCAGATTGGTTGCCACAGCTCTCAGGGGAGGTGGAAAGACCACAGGAAGAGGCTATTCCTGCTGACCATTGCAGATCTCAAGTCAGACCTCTCCCCTCCCCCAGATCCTACTTCCCTGGATGTTTCAATAAGTATTTCCCACATTTCTCAATACTGATCATTCTCATCACAACCCGATGGGAGTGAAGCAATCACTATCACCATCCCCATTTTCCAGGTAAGAACACTGAGGCTCTCCTTTGATCCCACAGCCAGCTAATAAGTAGCTGAGCCAGACCTGACTCCTAGGCCAGAGCCTGAGTCCTAGAGCCTATGCTCTGCCCACTTGGCCACACTGTCTCGCAGCCAGTGAGGACAGGCCCACACAGTCTGACTCCAGAGTCTCCGTCTTAGAGCTAAGGCAGGAAGAGGTGGTCCTGGCTCATAGGCTGTTCCTGCCTCCAGACAGAGGAGAAGGTTCGGGAGGCCAAGGAGCTGATCGAGCTGTGTTCTGGCCGGGGCCCCTGGTTCTGGATCCCGCTGCGCTCACACGCTGTCTGGGAGCACACCACAGTCCTGCTGACCTGCACCGTGCAGGGCTCTCCACCACCCCAGGCCACCTGGTAAGATGCTCAGTGGGAGGCAGGGTCCCAGCCCTGCCCCTGGTGCTCCACACCTGAGTTCCTTACAGCCCAGTAACGCCACAGGCCCACAGACCCTCAACTGCGCCTACCCCACCCCCAGCCCCATAGAGCAACAGCTGCTGGGGAGCCTCAGGCCCTGGGTTATTCTTAGCCACCTCCCCGCCAGCTTGGGGCTGGAAGACAGAGCCAGCCCTTGTTTAAAAAAACAGCATACCACTGGCAGGAGAGGCAGCTGCTGTGAACTGCGCCTCTCTGGGGTCAGGGGATGCTGGCAGAGGCAGGGCCGGGGGCCAGGGGATGGGAGAGGAGGTGGGGAGCATGGAGCCCCACTGGGAGAAGGGGCTAGGGCAAAGAGCCTGTGTCTCAGGCCTCGCTTGCTTTCCACTAACTCAACCCATGGTCTCAGGCGGGAGTCTGAACTGGTCCTGCCTCAGTTTCCTATTCTGTAGAATGAATGAGTCCAGGACCTTCTATTCAGGTTGCAGGGGATTAGGATTTAACTCCAAAATGACAGGCTCTCAGAACTTGTGCTGGGAAAGAACCAGGTATAGAGGTACATGCCTGTAATCCCAGCACCTGAGAGGTTGAGGCAGGAGAATTTATACATTAAGGCCAGCCTGGACTACAGAATGAAGCTGTGACTCAAATAAGAGAAAGAGGGAGGGAGGGAGAGAGGGAGGGAGAGGGATGGAGGAGGGCGGGTGGGCAGGCAAGCAAGCAGATGGCCTCTCCTGGTATGTGTCTACAGCAGAGCCCTAGACTTTCCTAGCTCTAGCTGGGGGCGCCCCTGAACAGGTGTGGTAGAGAGGGGCGTGGAGACTATTCTCCTCTTAGTAGAACCAGTGTTTGCCAATCTCCTCTGGCCTATGCCCATTGCCTGGCACCTTGAGGAAGGAGGAAGGGGTTCCCACAAATATTTACTAGGAGTGTCGCCAGCCTAGCCCTTGACTCAGGCACTAGAGATGCGGGAATGAAGCAAACAAGGAGAAGCCTGGAGAAGCATGGACACAGAGAGAGATATTCACAGTCATGTATTTAAGATCAAAGAAGAGCCGAGCGCTGGTGGCTCACGCCTGAAATCCTAGCTACTCAGGAGGCTGA